AGGAGCCCGGGGACGACGCGCAGATTAAGGCGTTTGCTGAAGGCTACGGTGTGAAGTTTGACATGTTCAGCAAGATCGATGTCAACGGGGACGATGCTCACCCGCTCTGGAAGTGGATGAAGGAGCAGCCCAAAGGCAGAGGCACCTTGGGCAAGTGAGTGGGGGCAGCACCAGCCCGGCGGTAGGCAGAGGGCAGCTCTGGGCCGCTCTGTCTGAGCAGGTGGCCTGGCTGTAGCAAGAAGAGGGTTTTTTTCTGCCACGGTCTCACTTCTTGTTTCTTCTCTTGTAGTGCAATAAAATGGAACTTCACCAAGGTAGGATACAGCTGCCTGCTCCTGGGCTCGCCTGGGTCGCACCCTCCCCCCTTGGGGGGCTGGGGGAGTCCCTGAGGTGCAGCAGGGGGGAGGGATCCCAAATGTCAGGGTAGGAGTGTCCCGAGGGGTTCCTGCGCGGTCCCTGTGCCTGGAGACCCCTGCAAGCCCCCAGCCCTGTCCCAGAGGGGCACTAACCAGCTCCCTGGGCTGCTCGGCTGCTCTCGCCGGGCTGCAGAGCCCACGTTACGGCTGGACTCACTCACCTGCTTCGCTTCCACAGTTCCTCATTAACCGGGAGGGCCAAGTGGTGAAGAGGTACAGTCCGATGGAGGATCCCTACGTAAGTGTGCTGCTGGCGTTACAGCTCTGCCCGACCCACGGGAGATGGGGGAGGGGGACCCTGCCAGCAGCTCTCTGCGGAGAGACACGGCCGAGCAGTGCTCCGGGGCACGCTCCCCTGCTGCGCCTCGGCTCTCCTTCCCCTTTGGCTGGGAGAGAAGAGGCACCCCTGTGTCTGGGGAGGGCTGGCACCAGGGAAAGTGGGTCCCCAGCACAGGGTGGGTAGATTGGTTCCAAGCAACCTCTCTGGGGTGGGACAGAGGGGGATTCAGGCACGTTTTTGGAGCAACGATGCTCCATAGCACAAGGCTCCCTCCTTTCTCGCAGGTGATCGAGAAGGACCTGCCTGCCTACCTGTAGATCTGCTCCTCTCACCCCTCCGCCCCAGCACCGCCCTCCCGCTGC